GTGTCTTGCAATATTCTTACTGTTTAGCACATAACTATGCATTCCCACTTATCCAGTCTGAGTTACATCTCGGTATCCTCTTTATGTATCCTGGTGAGGTGGATCAGTGAGTCAATGTTTGCTCACTCCAGGCACATAGCTTGATGTCATCCATGTATTGGAGATGGCTGATGGTCACTTTTTTCCTGGATCTAGATCTGTGTCTGTATACTTATTTGAAGTGAGTATAAGATAGATTCTGCACTGCAGAATCTATGTGTCAGCTTGTCAGTCATGAGCTTTTCAGCTCCTCACCAAGATTCTTAGATTAGGGAAACCAACCTTGAGTCATAGTCAGTCTATGCTCAGGTTAGGTTACCAATTCAAAGCAGCTTGGTGCACTGTTCAATCAACCACCAGTGTTGGGGAGTAACGGAATACATGTACCGCCGTTACGTATTTAAAATACAAAATATGAGCAACTGTATTCCATTACAGTTACCGTTTAAAAAGGTGGTATTCAGAATACAGTTAATTTGTTGAAATAAAGGGATTATACTGCAGTCTTTTCCTGTTTGATATGTTCGGTTATGCCCTCTCTATTTTTGGTAATTTCACGCCAATCCAAACAAAACACGCATTAAGAGGCTCTAATGCCTGTGTCTCAATCTCGCGTCTCATAATGACGTGAAGAAATATCTTTTAAAAAGAATTTAATATGAAGGCAAGAGTGTTACAAAGAATGTAGCCTCATGGGCAGTGTAGTCTGTGCTGCAGGGAGAATGGACTGCCATACCCGTTATGTGTCTGTGAGCGAGGGAGGGAGAAAAAGGAGAGTAGAAAATACGAGCTGTCAATGGGCAGAAACGGGAGATGAAAGCGTGTAAATATAATAATAACCACTGCAGCCAAAAAGAGTGCCTGACGAGCCCAGTTGTAAGTAAGCTATTAAGACTCGACTGTACTCTGTGTTCGCGCTTTCCACCGATACAATAAGTTCCGTTGGAGCAGCCTTTCAACGCGCTAGCAAAGCAGACCCAGACAACAAAGTAAAGCTAGTTTTCGGCTATGAGCCCGACACGGAACCTGACATATTAGCCAGAGGTCCCTTTACTACGATTCGGAGCCGCGGACCTGTTTTATATATGCGCGGAATCGTTTTCTATATGAGATTGCTGCAAAAAGTGCAGCCTTGCCTAATGTCAACCTACTGTTACTCATTTTATATTAAGATTTAAAAATCTAGTTGCTATTGGTATGGCGAGTAACCTTCACTAATAGTAATAAATCACACAGCAATAGATTATTGCTGTGTGCTCTCATTGCTTTGATCAGCTCTGAGTAGGTCTGTCCTTGTGCCATTATGCATTTGCAGCTGGGAGTACATCTTTTATAGGTCCTTGGAGAACAAGCCTTCTGTTCTCTTGGGTTTTACTTTTCTTCAGCCTAGCAGTGAAGGGTGTTTTTAGAGACTCAGTGGTGGACTTGTTGATGTCCTTTTTATCCATCCAGGCCTTTCTGCACCTCTTTTAATCGACTAATGCTCTTCTGGACTTGATTTTGGTTTTCAGGTTTCTCCTCCATGGGGGATTCTCTCTGCATATAATCTTGATTTTATACCCACGTGTCTCTAGGATTACTGTTGAAGTGGCATATATCAGCTTATTGGCTTCTGTAATGCTATCATGGGACATGATGAGTAGAGGGTGAATAACATCTGCAAGTATCTCTTCAGACGGGACTTTGACATTGGATCCGGGGAGTCTCATCCATGGTTGTGTACTGTATTTAGTCTGGCCACAACCTTAATTCACAGCTCAACTAAATTCACAGTTAACTGTCTGCTCAGTCTAGCAGGGAACTTGAAATTTACAGTTCGAGCAGGCATCGCGTAAGGCATTTGTCAATTTTACCAGATTCATAAGACAAAGAGGGAAAAAAAACTTACGTACTTACTTCTCTTTTTATGTCTTTGTACCTGTTTCTTTCACTCTCTCTGAATTTCTTTGGTTTATTTAACTGGACTTTGTCACCTGCATCCAAACGTCAGCCGAGTTCAACAGAGCTTGAGGGAAAACACACAGTGAGGAAGCCATATTGAAAGTGAGCCATCTGAAAGAATTTCACAAGATTGAAGGAAGGAAAGAGGCAAGAATAGGTCAGTGTGGCTGGTCACAGAAAACATTTCTGTATAGTTACACTGACTGAAATGTGTTACGTTAGCAAAAAAGACTATTGTTTAAGTTGTTTTTTCAGATGTCCTTTCTCCCAAGACTATAAAGTTAGATACTTAACACAAGAGACTTGACACGATGCAAGCTGACTGTGCAAAAACTACATCTGAGCCGTGAACTGCAATCATCAGAAGTGCAACTGAAAACACTCAACATCACATATGACAACAAAACCAATCAATTTCAGAAAGGAGCCTAATGTCAATACTGAGCTCTGGGGAATCTCATCCAGATAGTTATGTAGTTGTTTTTCTTTAGTTCTGTGCAGAAAAAATGGATGGATGGATAAAATCTGGGGGTAAAATGTTGTTAGCTGGGTAAAATGCACAAATGGAAAGAAATATAGCTAGACCTGTAATAAAGCCTGATCACACATGGGAGGAACACATTTTAGAGAATCAACAAATGCAACAAGGCAAAAAATTGTCCTAAAAATGCAAAGAAAGCAGACAGATTTATTTTCCGCTAGCAGCATGTAATTCATTGCACTCCCATTCCTTCTCTTCTCCCTGCACCCACCAAGCTCCTATCTCCATTCTCAAACTCCTGTCTATTGCAGTGCTCACTTGTGTATCAAGGTAATGAATTCATAATCTCTCTCAAGCTCTTTGTAGATCTCTATCGTGGAGGGAGATAAGAGCAAGCATCGTTGCTCTCTAATAGCCGTCAGTCTGCCTCTGTTCCCGCTTGCTCTGTGTGTGTTTGTGTGTACAGTATGTGTGTGCGTTGAGGAAATCACCCTTCACCAAAAACCCTGCACACTGTCCTCCATTTTGGCTTCCAGCGAAGAAGAAAAATATTCTAGCCTAGAGAGTCACTTATCAGCTAACTGTTGAAGCTACAAGGCGACAAATGTCTCTCAGAAAGAAGAGCGTTAAACACTGAGCACTGGTTCACTTCCTCTTGTTCTTCCAGCGCCTCAAGTGCACTAAAAAAAGCACACTTGTCAACCTAGCTGATAAACACTCAGTCACAGGGAAAGTAAATATCTGAGAGGGTGAGGCAGACTCAGTGTAACTAAACTTATGACAAAGGGTGGCTCTCGAGGGCCGACCGGACGTGCACGTGTTTTTAATTGTGTTTTCAGTAGGGTGATGAAATGTCTTCCATTTGAGCACAAGCTGGCAGTAAGTGGGCTGTCGCCTTCAGGGACAGAGTGAGCGATGGCCCGCTGCTATCAGAGGTGATTGTGTCTCAACCCTTAAGGGTGACACAGATGAACGAAAGGGAGCAGGGAGACAATAAGGAAGAAAGCAACCAGGGGATGGACTGGCAAAAGAAGCCTTGGAATTTGCGGTCAAGTGTCCCCTGTTTAATACACCAGACTGAAAACATATTTGAGAATCAACATTTTGTTTAAAAACAAGCTAATAAAAAAGGCAAGTATGTATGTGATGATGACTTCTATGAATTGTCATACAATGGTAAATTCTTTTAAAACTTCAAAAAAACATTTCAAGACCCCAGAAAAAAAGCCGTATCTAATTTAAAGTTAATTTTACCACTCTTCCTCTCAAAGTGTCCCATTATAGCTTCTGTGTTTATACTCCCTGGACCTTCTGATTAAATGTGTATATACACACTTTCAATTTCAACATGGAATTAAAAAGAGAATCAACTTTATTTAGCATTACTGTTAATGGGAGCTGGGTGAACAGCTGCGATCCAGAGACCAATGTGCAGTTTTTAGTGCACTTTAGTCCACAGTGTCCAAGGATGAAAATCGTACTGCAGTTCTTGAGTACAAACACAAATGTGCCTCCCCCAGTTTAAAGCTACATTGTAATGTCCTTTGGCATTTTGAGAAGAATATTTGGCACAAAGAACCTGAGGTTTGGCCACAGAATCACCCAACATACCTTAATTGCCAGATTGATTCCCAAGACTCGCACTTCTCCCTCGAAATTATGTTCAGATTGAAGTGCTGCCATTTTGATACAAAAGAGAAGATCAAGGGCGGCATTCAAAGAAGATTTTGATTACACCTAGTATAAGTGACGTAGTTTTTTTGTACTCTGATATACTCCATTCACACTTGAATGTTCAATAGGTCCCCTGTAATTGGAGCTATGTTGGTTCCTGCTCCATGATCCTCTGTCCATGATATTTTAAATATATTAAAAATAATATGCCAGATAAGCCATAATACAAAAAAATTTAATATTTCAAATACTTAAATAGATTCATCACTTTTAAAAAATAAAATCATCACTTTTAATATTTATTGTACCCATTTTTGGTACGTCTGACTAGTTAAACTTCGGAAATGGACTAACCAACCTGCAATGAGATTCTAACGTCAAAACCCAAGGCTGAAAAGCCCTGTTCTTTAGTTGACTCTGTTTATTCTGGGCACATAATGCCTACTCCAGGGGTCGGCAACCTTTTTGATGATGAACGCCGTCTAAAATTTCCTCAGAAGTCAATGTGCCATATGATTGCATTAGCAATAAATTTAATAATGCTCTATATGAACAGTTACACACTATATAAAACAACTTTACAGAATTATATTTGTTCGCAGCTGTCAGCAGCTGTCAGCGAATAGTTATCAGCTATTTTGAAACAAAACAGCAAATGAACTGTACAACAGAAAATGCAAATGCTATTTATGGTCTCCTCACAACAATGATAACAAACACTGTTGTGACAGTGATGTACACTGTCTTGTTGGTATATGTGTGGTTTCTATACATTTTACATCATATAAAAACTTTGGTTGTAAGATTCAGATAATTATTTATTAAAAGCTAGACATTTTAAATGAGAATAAGAAAGAAAAGTATTTCTTTGTGCCTCTCTTTCCCTGTTAATGCCCTACCTGGCCCCCTGGCAAAACTTTGGGTAAACACATGAATAAGACAGGGAGACAAAATAGGCATATAAATATAGCTGTGGTCAGAAGGTTACATACACTCATCATGGATATAAATGCCATAGGAACTTCGGACTTTTAATGATTTCTTTGGACTTCTTTTTGCAATAATTAAAAGATTGTACAAACACAAATTGGATGCACATGTTTAAAATTAATTAGGATTCCCCCCCAGTATTTGGTTAAATTCCTCTTAGCAAGGCACACCTTGATTAGGCCCTATTGGTATATTTGACCACTCCTCTTGGCAGTGTTGGTAGAGCACATTTAAATTAGTTGGTTTGGTTTGGCAGCTTTTAAGCATAGTCATAGTGTACATACTGTAGGTATGCGTAATTCAGAACGTCTAGAAGAAGACTGTCATCCTTAGATGAGGGGAAATTGTTTAGGATGTTCAAAAACACTCCAGGAACCATTTAGCCTCATTGTGCTTTTTTGGTTAAGAAGGGTCTACCTTCAAGCTCCAATCCAGCTTCACATCTAAGAAGTGAAAGTTCATGTTTCTGCACAACAAATGCCATCTTAGCCAAACCTTAACCTTATTAACCTCCTAGGACCTGGCAAAAAATCTGGTAATTCTTTGTTTTTACATTCATCGGGCCCCAATATGCCTAAATATCAAAGAGAAATTAAAAATGCATGCCGTGGAAGAGTTCGGATCTTAGGAGGTTAATGTACCAACCAGTTCACAATAAAGACACACAATCTTTATTATGAATATAAATTCAGGAATAACCATTCTTCTGCTTTTTTTTTTTTGCATGCAAGCATTATCTGTTTGACAACATTGCTAAGCAGCAATTGTGATGAGGATCACCTTCCTTCACTTGGAAGCACAGCAGCTGACAGAAGGAGGGCAGCAGTTTCAACAAGGTTCACCGCTTGTTTCGAGGATCTTCAAACAGTACATGCTGCTATGTGATTCGGAAACAAGACGCAAACGATTAAACGCTCTCCCCCGAGCACTTGCCACATCTTCCGCTCTTTGAATTTACATGGCATTTATGAACACTCACAAGGAAAACAGAAAAAGCGGGAGTGGGATAGCTGGGGAAGAGGACTCCGGGAGTGGAGGAGTCTCATTATTCTGTTATGGATTGCACATGTCAGGCAGTAAGTGCTCTTTTTATCCTTCCAAAGCACTAGCCTCGGCCACTGAGCGCATTTCCCTACCCGAGTGAAATTTACCATGTTAAGGCTCACGCCACCAGGGGAATGGTGGTGAGAGCTCTGGGTCGCTGTTAAGATTTACCGCCTTGATTAAATAAAGGGCTCTGGTGTGAATAAGAGGCTGAGGGAGAAATCTTCGTAACATAAACACATGTTTTATACTCAACAGTAAATTGATTAGACCCCATCCTTACACAAACACACACACAGACTTTTACACCTCTTTATGGTGTGCTACATGTCACACTGGGTTTTAAACAAAGAACAGAAAGGGGGCAGTGGAGGATTGCTTGTGGCTCAGGGTGGCTTTCTGCCAGTACACAGAAAAGATGTGTCTTCTCAAAAGGGCTTGTTCCCATTTATTACTGCCTGCATACCTTGAAAAGTTCACCCAGGAAAAAAAATATTATTCCTCTCTTTTTATTTGGGAAGAAGAGGACTCTTATTTGATGCAACGCGCTTCACATATTGTAACACTTCCCAAAAAAACCCTTTTAAATTCAGTCTCATGTTCTTCAAATTTCCAGCCTTTCCTTTAGTCCTTAAAGCTCCAGGAAGGTGCTTTGCCATAATTAGCTGCACTTTGCTGGGATAAAGCATTTTTTTAAACCCACAGCGTAACATATGACAGTCTGAAACAAAGCAAAATGTAACTGGTTTTAGCCAAAGACGGAGCAACAATTTTCAGTTTGCAAAGGTAGGTGAGTATGGGGTCAGCTGATTGATGTGCCTCCAGTGTGTGTCTAGGCTCCCTGCTGGATATAGTGGACACCAGCTGGCACTGTTCAAATTCAAATCCTACAAGCCAATCAGGATTGCCTTTTCAACTAAAAGCCAATGTGATTGGGTGACACTTTGTTTCTACGGTGTGTGTGTGTGTGTGTGTGTGTGTGTGTGTGTGTGTGTGTGTGTGTGTCACACTTTATCACAATGGCAACACTTATTTCGACTTTTTCACTGGTCACTCTAATACCAACCCGCTAATACAGTTTAAAATAACTATGCTGATCGTTTTTGCAGGTTATGTGGGCTGATCTACACTGAACATCCACACATATGGAGAAAAGGTTAATTTGATCTACAGTTAGACTAAGAACGGTTTTACAATAACCTATGCTCTTCATGTTGTTAAAAGCGTTCCATGTAAATGCATGTGTTTGCCTCTTCTTAGTCCTGCCACTGCAGCCCAGATTTGTAAACCCAAAGATCAGCAGCAGTAACTCGTTTCGTTACAGGCCACTTTGTGTTATGATTTCCTACTAACGTGCATGAACGCACCACATGGTGCGATTTACGATGTAGGAGAAGTCAAGAGACGAAGTTTATGAGGCGGCATTGAACGCAGCACAGGACTCCCTACGTTTTTTTCCCCCTCCGCTTCATAGGGGAGGGAGAATGTGGGGGGCTGTTTGACTCCTGTCTCCCCACCCCCAGCCCGTACGGAGTGGCTTTAGGAAGAAAAGAATCCAAACCTGCAACTCGGAGATAACGAGACACACACCAATAAAGAGATACACGTTTGGAGATCCGCGCGCGGCGGTGTCGCGCACGGATTATTATAGGGCATTTTATTTTTCTTTCACTGAGGAGATTCTGGTTTGGAGCGTCTGATCTTGGGGGGAAGGAATACAAATGTACGGAGAATAAAAGGAGTATTTCATACATGCTCTCTTCGCTAACAAGTGACTGCCGCTGGAGAAAGTGGAATATAGTGTTTTTTTTTCTGCCGCAGGAGATTCAACGTAACTGTTTTTATTTGCTCTGAGGGAACTGACCGCTTACCCCAAGCATACGGATTTAAAACCTGTCCCCAGGGGTGGGGGGGATAGTCTCAAAAGTACTTTTCTCACGCCGCTGAAGTGAGTGCAACTTTTTTCTCCTTCTTAATTCTTCTTAATGCTTGAAATCAGTTCAGGTGAAAGGTGCGAGACCTAAGAGTGGGCTCCGTCTATATCTGTATGTTTATATATTTTCAGCTTTGCTGTGATTTTGTATCTCAGCTCGCTGGAGTAACCAAGAAGAGATGCTAATTTTAGTCCGTTTTTTCTCTTTCAACATGCTTTTATAAATAAATCTTCCGTGAATAATTTTGTTTTAACGTTCAAACTGAAAAACAAAAGTTTAACATCTTTGTTTTTTAGTGAGCTTTCTAACGATGGGGCTCTGCTTCTGTAGCATCTGAAGATAAAAATGCTTCTGTTACTCGCTCGCCTGTAGAGGGTAACCGTTAATCAGTAAGTGTAATGCTTGGCAGTATAGTCAAAGTAACGGAATATATAAGTATTTTGATAGTACTTAAATGTTTAAGTAACTTTCCTATTGAAAGGTTAGAGTGTGTTAAATGGTTACTGTAGGATTTACATTAAAAAGTACCAGGTGCCTTTTAATACCCCTCCAACACTATGGCAGTGTGAAAACGTATGGATAGTGGAATCATGGTTTGGATACATTTCCAGGCAAGACCTTTGATGTTGTTCTTGTTCCTCTTATCATCCTCCTAATCATCACCATTAATATTATTTGTTCAAGATGATTCCCAGGACATCTTCATTTTTATAACATTTGAGGCTAAACCTTTTCCAAGGCAACGACCTTCACCAGAGAACAATGTCACCCTCCTCACCCCCAGTGCTCCCACTCTAAAAGCAAAAAAACAAAAGATTAGTACCTCTGCTGCTTTTTTAAATGGATTGTGTGGAAAATATGAGCTCAAATACAGAGGTTTTGATTCTTGATGTTAGTGGTTATTGAGGCAGTGAACTATGTGGGAAGTTTTCAAAGTTCAGAGGTGAGATGCGCCTTTGCTCTGAGGGAACGAATTCAGTCATGTGGACCTGTTATTGCTACTTACAGAATGTTTTATCCCATTTCACTTCTCGCTTCACTTAAGACAATTTTCCAATCTGATGCATAATTAATAAGCTCTGTTTACTCAAGCAAAAAAAAAGAAAGAAAGAAAGAAAACACATGATAAACCCCCCTTTTTTGTAAATCAAACTCATCAGTCCTGCATTCCAGCATTCAATCAGCCTGCTAACTCAAATAAATAAACCCATTTGTCTTATGATGAGAGTCACATGTCTATTGTCAGTAGCAAGAAGGAGTCTTGTCCTTTAGAGTAATTGGACAACACGTAAACCAAGACGCTGCATGTCAAGTGTGTTCTGGATTCTTAATGTGGCTTTAATTGAACAATTTATCACCCCTGATCACTGTCAAATAACTGGGCAAGAAAGACAACAGGCAATGAAAATGCCAAGGATTAAGCTGGCAGGCATATCCCACTAAGCGTGACCAGTGTGTCTGTCACAGCAGCATCTGCAATGTGCTGTTTTATTTAATTTAGCCGATTTATTTATTTTTTGTATATAGAAATCACAAGTCAGTGCCTGCTTGAGTGGCACTCTCCTAAGAAGTGGCAACGCATAGCGGGGGAAGGAAGGGGCCACGAGAACATTACATCCTTGAAAAACTTCTTTTATTGGACCAAACTTTTGATTTCTCCCCGGAGCTCCTTTCCCTACACTTGGAAGAAAAGCTAATTGAATTGTGCCCCGGATATGATGCTTTTTTTTTCCCTCCCCCAAGTATGGAGGTCTTGCAGAAGTGTCCTCCTCAGGGTTTTGAAATTCATTTCCTTTGCAATTTATTACTTTCTGAGCTGTTTTTCTTTATTTCCCCTACCTCAACAGTAGGGTGTATTCTCTCCATTTTTGAAAGCATCAAAGTGGAGAAGAGAGAGAGATCCAAGATAGCTACAGGCGTTACATGTGATGAGTTATTCAGCTGTGTATTTTACTTGAGGTAATTGAACTTTTTAATCGTCTTTCTTTAATATTTTTTACATTTTTGACACACGACCGGCTTAAACACTGTGGTAATCAATTTCCATAGCACAAGCAACACTCTTGATGCCTTAAGACACTTTTATTGTTTGACTTTCCAAATGTGGTGCTGAAATTGAAACTCACAACCATCAACATCTTTTCAAGGTTTTTTTTTTCTTCTTTTAAAAAAAAGAGTCTATCTGTTACTTGCAAATACAATGTTTATTTTTGATCCTGGGGTGCAGTCGATGAGTGCTTGAAGTTTGTCACCCCCGATGCATCGGGGTATATGAAAGTATATGAAAAGCAGGTACATTATCTGGAGGCCAGAGATCACTAACCTCAGCCAAGGCCAGTACTCAAATTAAACATCATCATTTATTTAAAAATATTGTGCGGACACATTGAGTAGCATTATACATCAGCCCACAATTATGCTTATTACAACCCTGCAACACGCTTACATTCTGAAGCAACCGATGTTACTCACACACTACCATAAGTGGGGCTCATTAATGAAGTATTTCTACTGAGAAACCAATGTAAGTCGTCCATTGGTTGACTAAGGAGGCATGGTAACATTTGTTAGCTACTAGGCCCCCCCCCTTAAACATCGTCTGTTATGCAGCTGTCTGCTACACAACCTCTCAAGCTGGTGCTGATGTGACTAAATTTCCAGGATATACACCAAAATGCATTAAGATGTTTCTTTGCCCATGTGCCACCTCTAGTCAGTTTAATGAAAATCGGCCTAGCAGCATTTGCATAATCCTTCTCACAGACAAATAGACAAGCTGGTACAAAAACATAACCCCTATGGTAGAGGTAATAAAAACTGTGACCCAGTTCCACTGGCAGCCACACAAGCTCATGCCTTAATACTCCCTCCACCATGTTTGACAAATGATGTTGGACATGTTTAGATTATGAATCCTTCCTTCCCTTCTCTTCTTAACATTCAGATAAGTTTATTTTAGGTTCTCTAAGAACTTTGACCTTATGATATACCTTTTGATATGCCTACCTCCGTAAGAGGCTTCTTTCATCTTATGGTTTTGCTAAGGCTTTATTTTTATTTTTTAAATAAAAATCAAACAGCAGAACCTGAAAAAAATACTTTGCTTGTTATTCATTTGTCTCTGTTTTAGGCTGTAAAATAAAGCAGACTTATCAGAGAGGGAGAGCTTTGTTAGGCTCTCACTTTGATAGACTTACTTTTGTCAACACCTCTTTGGACTTTGTGCATTACCACCGTATTTAGTTTCATTGAACAGCTTCTAAACACAGTTAGAACTATCCCACACCATTTGTCATGATGAAACAAGGAAACTGTCCACACATGTTCAAGAACCTATTAAAACACAGACAGTGTGCAAAAAAATGGCTCTAATTCCTCACATTTAATCACCTTGAATTAAAGTTGGTTGGTTGGACTTTATTTACTTTACTTCATTTGCAAGGTTGTAAAATATTTAGCAGTTATGACAAAACCAAAGCATCAATCAACGCATTTATTTTACTCAAGAGGACACAACGATATCACACACTTAATTTGTCTATTTTTTTAGGCTTTTAGGACCACTTTCTTACTAGCCTGTGCCCTGTTTATTTTATTCAAATCCAAATTAGCAGAGTTTTGGTGGCATCGAGTGCTTTGAAATTATTCACATTGCACTTGACGCAACAACACAGTTAATAACAGCTGCTCTAAAGTGACTGTTGCGGTAGAGAGAAAGAGAGAAATGCGGCACGTTATGCAGAGGCGCTGTTGCACTCACAGCTAATTGTGTTTATTCATTTTAATTTGCTCCGAGTGCTAAATCAGTGCTCTTCTAGCGACACGAGGTGCAATTAGCTCGACTGTGAAAACAGGAGGCAGTGTGTCTTCTAAAGTGTCCCCTCCTCTCCTCTTTGATTTGTGTATTATCCATCCTTTGTCCTTCACATTTCTTCCTACTTAACCAGGCTGGAAACGCACTCGATAAAAGTAGCATCTAACCGCTTCATAATGTGAGCGTCACCGTGCAAGCAGTGGGAAGATTACATAACTTGTCGCAAAACTAAAATTCAATTTGTTTTTAGAAAAAAAAGAGGTGTCATTGGGTTTTTTTGCCAAGTTATTGATGGGTCATATATTAAGGAGATATACAGTTTAAGGAAATTTTAATGCATTAAGGTACTTGTTTTGCAGGTAAAGTGTTGGGTAAAGGGGTCACATTTGGGCATTGAACTGTAGCCTATTAGTTGTATGGTTTCACTAATAATAAAAAGTTATTACTGAACCCTCTTAGCCTGAAACAGCGATATATGCCTATAAGTCTATGTTCGTATACAACTGTAAGACAAAGCAGACTGTAGGGCAAGATAATACATGGTGGCTGTGTAAAGGCAAACAGCTCTTTATGTTTTTGGCACTCTTTGTTGTTTTGTTGCATGATGAATGTTTGCAAAAACCCCACAGCATATCTTTGTCCGCATCGCTTTTTCTGCAATGTGTGGTGCACTGCATTACATACCATGTACCTGTTTTTGAGTTTTGAAACAAGTCAGATCAGACCTCTGTTTGTGCAGGCCCAGTTACCAAGAAACACCTTCTGCTTTCCTGAGAGAGAGAGAAAAAAAAAATAAGATAAAAAGATAAGTGCAAACTGCAGGTTGGAAGTTTTCTAGAAGATCTCTTCAATTCACTGGATCCTTCTGTTTTCGACTTGTCCACAGGTGGAGACACGCGAGACTTGTGATTTGCAGAGAATGTTTGACTATTCGCTCAGACACCATTGTTTGGATGCCTTAGGTCTAAAGTTTGTAGCTCAATTCCCTTTAGAATTTTGTTCTGAACTGGCGGGGAACCCCCAAAAGTCACAGTTTACCCACCAACTGAAGTTTAAAGGTTACCACTCCAAAGAAAGCCATCAATGGATTTGAACAGAGATGACACGGGTTGAGAGGCATGGGGCCAGATAAGACAAGGCTGTGATAACGTGTGTGAACTCAGCAGCATTGATCTGTTTCTGGCTGACTTTAAGTCCCCT